GAGAACAAGGAAAGAAATGAAAGTTTACAGTCCTAGAGGTTAGAAAGTCCAAGGTTGAGGGGCCATTATCTGGTGAGAGACGACTTGCTGCCTCATGACATGGCAGCAGGCAGAAGCAGTGAGAAGGTACAAGAGCACTGGGGAGCCAGATTTCATGAGTCAAGCCCACGCTCAGGATGAGTCCACTTGAGGGCGCTGCTTTTAAAAGTTTTTTTCCAGCATGTGAATGTTAGCGCACAAATAAACTAGAGGACTCTGTCCTCTGAATTTCTTAATATTTAATATGCACACACACTGAGACCACTTTAAATAAATATATTGGGAAGTTTTTGCTTTTTTCCTTTATAACAGTATTTAATGTATTGGGGTAAGAATAGTAGGAAGAGTGATTTTTAAGATGAAATTGAATGTAGCAGAGATGACCTTATACTAGCTACGCAGAAGCTCCTGGCAACTGATTTGTTGATCTATATAAAAGCACACATCAGAGACTATTAACCCAAGCCTTGAGTAGGCCAACCACATTTTAGTTTTTTAATAGTGTCGTGACAGTAGGGAATCTGGTTAGAGCTCAGGGAGTTAACGTCACAGTTCTGCTATCGATGGAGTAACTGTGTAAGCTTGCCTTCTTCATGATTCTGTACATTCCCTTTGGGGTTGAGGCCTTTTGAAAATTAAATAAAATCTATTTTAAAATTGTGTCTTCCAAAATGAACCAAAACAAACTTGCATACCACCCTAATGTTTAACACTTTAAAATTCATTCTAAGTCCAGATGGCTTCTGTACACTCAGGAGAGCTCTGGTGCCTCCCTCTGTGTTTTGTCTAGATTGAAATGTCTGCTCTTTGGGCTAACCTTGAATCCATGAATTCAAAAGGAAGGGAAAATACTGCTAATTGCTTAGATATGATAGCAGATAATAGAGCTCCTTTTTCATCTTCAGAAGTGTTCCACATTAAACCAACTGCTTTTAGCCACTTGGTTTTCACTTTATTCAAGATGGAAAAACAACTTCTGTTATTTTCAAATAACAAATATTAGGATGAAAATTCTAAAATACGATTTTTCTCTCTATGATAGTTAAAAGCAGGAAGCCAGGACCAGCATGTTGGCTTGATGGGTAAAAGGCTCTTACTGCCAAACCTGACAACTCGAGATCAATCTCCAGGACCCACATGGTGGAAGAGGAGAACATTCCCACAAGTTGTCCTCTGACTGCCAGATGTACAGTGTGGCACACATGCACCCACAGATACAAATGAATGTTTTTGAAAGAGATATAAAGCTAAAGGAAAAGGGAAATGGTAGCTTTAGCAGTTGATGAATTATTAAACACCAAATTTTATTCTCCCTCCTGCTTGGAGGTAATCTCAATGTTCACAAAGAATGAATTGTTTGTATACACATATGTGATTATGTAATTCTCACAGTGACTGACAATTTAGTAAACCTCTTCCAAAGATATGCTTATTACTTGTAAAAAGACTGTAAGCCTTATGTTAATTCTCAATAGTGTTGCTATTTTGGTTCTGAAAATGCATTTGGTATTTAATCAGCATGCATCATGATTTGATGCCTGAAATAAGTTAACTCTTTCCATTGATTACAGACAACTTATTACTAAATCTTTTTTTTTTTTTTTTAAGAGTATATTTTGCTGGGCACAGTGGCCCGAGCCTTTAATCCCAGCATTTGGGAGGCAGAGGCAGGTGATCTCTGAAAATCGAGGCCACCTGGTCTACATAACAAGTTCCAGGCCAGCTGGGGCTACAGGGAGACTCTGTCTCAAACAACAACAAAAGACGATATTTTAAGAAAACTCTTAAGTGTATAAAATGTTTCCCTTAATATCCAAAAAGAAAAGTGAACCTCTTTCAACAAAGTATGTATAAATGTATAGATCACTGGTCTAGATATTTATGTCAGTTTTCTTATTCTTAAGACTTCAATCTTAAAATCATTCGTCTTTAGTAAAGTATGGTTTAGTTTTTCCAGAATCTTGGCAAGGATTTTAGCCCTGTTAGTTGTGTGATGGCTTTAATAGCAGCTATATTTTTCTGCAAGTTAACAGAAGCTGAATTCTAAAAATTTTACTTTTCAGACTTTGTTTTTCAAGGTCAAAGCATTTTGAAGTGTCTCTAGTTTTGGAGACTATCACCCAAATGAGGTGGAGGAAGTGGATCTAGAGACTAGAAGTTCCCGTTCCTGTTCCTTCACTTCCTAAACCTCTTCATTCCCTACCTATTTTAAAAAAAATTTATTTATTATCTTTATTTTATGTGTACGAGCGTATTGCCTGCATGGGTGTAAGTGCACCTATGTCATGCAATACCCAAGAAGGACAGAAGAGGACGTCGGATCCCCTGGAACTAGAGTTACAGATGGGTGTTAGCCAGCATGTGGGTGCTGGGAACTGAACCCAGGGCTTCCGCAAGACCAGCCAGTACTTTTAACTGCTGAACCATCTCTCTAGCCCTTCACGTCTATTTTTTATTCTCATTCTGTTCTTGCCTTGTTTGGGGTTTTTTTGTTTTGTTTTTTTGTTGTTGTTGTTGTTTTTTGAGACAGAGTCTCCTTGTAGCCCCAGATGGTGTGAAACTTAATGTGTAGACCAGGCTGACCTCAATATCACAGAGATCTATTGGTCCCTGCCTCCCTCGTGCTGGGATTAAAGGCATGCACCTCCACACCCAGCTTCTGTTCCTCTCTTGATCAGAATACCAGAAGAGCACTGCCAGTCCCTAAGCCCCTTGGGTTTAATTGCTATCAATCTAGGACTCCCTCAGCAGAGCACTCTGTTTCATCGACCTGGATCATAACCCCAGAATTACTCGTCAAAAGCTCCGTTAGATCATAATAGCTGCCAAACAAAGAAAAAAAAATAAAAGAAAATTCTTGGGATTCAAGTGCTCGTGAATGGTAACTTCTTAATCATGTAGTATCTTAAGTCATTTTTTAATGCTATAGCAAAATACCTAGCACTAGGTAATATCAAAGACAGGTTTATTTGGCTCACCAATCTAGTAGCTGAAAAGTTCAAATAGCAGACATAGCATCTGAAAAATGGCTACCCTGTCTGCCTCCAGTGAGGTGGAGAAGCAGAAGGAGCCTGCTTGTGCAGAAGGGGCATGTATGCAAACAAGAGGGGCTAGGATCCAGCTTCTCTTTTGTAGCACCCTGCTTTTCTGGAACGTAATTTATTCTCATGAGACCAGACTCACTCTGATGTGACCGAGTCATCGGCCAAACCTCTTAAAGGGTCTCCCAGGTTTCAGTATCACCGTACTGTGGTCCAGCCTTCCTGAACATGACCCTTGGGGTAGCAGTCAACCCACAGAGCATGGGATACTCCAAATTCCTTGGTGCCTTGGTTTCAGGATATAACTTAGACTTAACGTTAGTCAGCCCTTGACCTCTGCTGAAAGGAGAATTCGAGACAGTCCATACCCATCTCGAACTTACAAGTCAGCTTGACCCTAGAAGGTTTAGGTTTCCATTGGTACTTAGCATATTTGCCACACCACTTTGGGCTCTCTGTGAATCAGTGAATTTTTTTCTCTTCCTTCCCAACTTACCACATATTCATCCTAAAGTCTTATTTCTGTGTGATACATGTACTGCACTCCTAACCATTTTCCTGTTCCCATAGTCCAGCCTCGTCACCTCTACCTCTGTAATCTACTTCTCCCTCCAGCATCACGTTCAGCACCATCTTTTATGCCCCTTCCAAAGTCATTTTTCTGTCAGCTAAATTCACACTGTCATGGTTTTCATCAGAATTCTATAACTGACCATTACTATCTATGGTACTAAAACTTTCATGACCATGTATCAGGCCGGCCTAAGCAACTCCATCCATCTGCCTGGCATTAGCAATCACTGTAATTCAGCAGATGTTGCCAGGATACCTACGATTTACTGCAGCCAGGTTTTGGCCTCCACTTCTGCACCTGTGCCCATTTTATTAGACTCTCTCTTCCCATGTCTCTTTTGTTTTGTTTTTTAGTGTTTTTGAAACAGGGTCTCCCTGTAGTCCCAGCTGTCCTGGAACTCACTATGTAGACCAGGCTGGCCTTGAACACACAAAGATCCGCCTGCCTCTGCTCCCAAGTGTTGGGACTAAAGGCGTTCGCCACCACACCCGGCTCTTCCCATGTCGTAATGAATCCTTCCCCAAGATTTTAGAAATGTTGGCTTTCATCTTCAGTGGTAATGGACTTTTGCAGCTTCTCAGGGCATCTGATAAGCTTTAAAACTTTTTCATGTTCTTCTGTGTTTAATTCACAGTTACTATCTTATAAATTTTACATCTTGATTTATATGCCAGTGATTGTCTGTCACATTATTCTGTACTTACTGTATGCTTCTTTGTAGACTACATGGAAATATTTAATAAATATCCACCTTGGTCTAAACACCTAATTTGTGGTATGTGCTCTACCATTCTTTTGCTCACTTCTAAACAGGGTGGAATTTGGCAGTGTATTTATTGAATATTGTGTGTTCCATTTTTCAGCCACATAGGTATATACGTCTCAAGAAGCATAGAGAACTGACCCTGTAACCTTATATAGATTATTACCTATCCAGAACCTCAGCTTGTGATGTGTAAAATGGGCATGATAAAAATCTACCTTAGAGTTGTTAAGAATTTAGGGGGGAAATGCATATTGACAGCACCTACCATCATGCCTAACGAATAAGAGATGGGCTGGGTGGAATACACTTTTAATTCCAGCACTCAGGAGGCAGAGACAGGCTGATCTCTGTGAGATCCAGGCCAGTCTGGTCTGCATAGCAAGTTCATGCCAGCTGGGACTACAGGGAGACCCTGTCTTTATATATTTAAAATTTTTAAAAAAAGGCAAATAATAGATGCTTTAGAAATTATTGGGTTTTTTTCATTGTCAACCTAGAGGCTGTGTTCCAACTGATTAAAAAGAAACAGGACTTTTATTCTGACCCACCCCTATATCAATATCTGTTTTTCTGTGTCTAGGTTGAATATATTTCAGGAAAAGTCTTTTTCACCACTTATTCAGATTTGACCACGATGAAGAAGTTAAAGTCGGCGGAAAGACTGTTTCTGTTGATTAAGAAGCAGCTTCCATTTTCAGCCTCCTCTCTAAGGAAAGGTACAGTGTCTGTCTGCTGCTTCGTGCCTGTGTGCTGTGCTTACTCCAAGGTTTTCTGCCTAAGAACTAGTATGCCTTCAGTCCGCACTTGGAAGTTTCATTCCTGTATGTCATCACTAGTTGTATAGTGTCCTCCTGAATGTTCTCACGTAACTGTAATAGACTCTGCTCTTTTCTTTGGGGTCTACTGCTTATCTTCTGAGATTTTACTGTTCTAAGTCACACTTTTTCGTTCTAGGATAAATATGCTTAGTTACATTTGTTTGCCTTTAGGAGCATGTAATAACTCAGAATATAATTACATATTATATATTTGTACAAACTGTCATCTCACAGATGTTATCTGTGTGATGTCATTGGAAAAGTACTATATAGTAAAATTTTCTTCTCCCAGGACCTTAAGTGCTTAGCTCATTTATAAAAGGAATGTAGGAGATTTCTTATTTGCTCCATAGTTTTATAACTATGATAGATGTTTACATAATTTTCGATCTTGATCAAAGCTACACACACCCATACAAAACCAAATACTACAGGATTAAGCATTGTCTTAACCCTCATTTTGATTGCTAATGTGCATAAGCCATCATAGAATTGTATAATTGTATAAGAAACTGTTCTAAGAAAACATGCAAATGACAGAAAAATCATGACTAGGCAGAAAAAATCCTTTAAAACAAATCCCAAGGTTTTGTGGGGTCAATATAATTTTTTCCCAGTCATCCATACACCATGTCTAAGGAACTATAGTGATAATTTTTAGGTCATCTTAGTGACTCTTGATTATCAAGAAAAGATTAAATTTTATTGAGCATGCTGGAAGCCCTTGAGTTATAAATGGATTATGTGTTCGAAGTTTATTTTAACCTTATGGAAACTCATTTTAGATATATGTAAATTCTGTATTGTCTAAAATGAAATAGGTTCAAGGTTCAGCACTCTGTCTGATTTCTGTGTTTTTTAATTTCTTCTTGTTTTTAAATCTCAATTTTCATAGGCAAGCTCACTGTTATCAGAGATCAATGTATCCCTTAGATCTTTGCATTAATTCACAAGATAGACGTATATTACCATAGGAGAGATGATTTTACTAAAGTAGTACATAGTAATTCTATAGGAATTTTTTAAATATTTTATTTATTATCATTTTTTTTAACATCACAAACAAGCATACTTTATTTTTATTGGATTTGGCCAAATGAAATGTTCTATGCAAGGCAAACACTTCACCATGAAATGTTTAAAGATAAATAAATGAATTCCAACTTATATAAATCTCCAGGTGCCACATACCAACTTAAGACATAATTGCAAATTTTAAAAGTTCAATAGTTGGAGATTCTATGAAGTTTAGCATCTATTACCTGTTTGCTTTGTAACTTTGTTCTGGAGTCCAGCCTCCATACTGTGTACAACATTGGATGGTTCATTGGGACTAGATCCTCGTTGACAAAGTGCTTGATGTCCAAGTTTCCAGACTATGTTTGGATTTGAGAGCCAGGTGCTCAGAGTGTGAGCCAGCAGTTGAAGAGCGGGAATCAGCAAGGTAAAAGCCTAGAACCCAGGTCTTGGCCTTCCTCTGCCTTCTTACAGCTCACCTAGAGATTCATGTGAACAGAGGCCACAGAGCAGCAGGCCACAGTAGCAGCTGAATCTGAGACCTAGACTGCTCAAACTCTTCTTTGTGCCAAGACATGATTTCCAACGCAGTCTCGGGCTAAATTTTACCACAGAGCTAATGCTTTCATTAAGAAGACAGGATTAATTAAAACCTCTGAATTAGGAAACGAGACATCTGGGACAGAGTTTAAGCCACAAACGAGGACTATACAAGGCCCATGTTATCAACCACTCCACAAGCAGACATTCTTTTTCTTTTTTTTCTTTTCTTTTCTTTCTTTTTTTTTTTGGTCTCTTTGAGACAGGGTCTCCCTATAGTCCCCACTGTCCCGCTGGCCTGGAACTCACTATGTAGACCAGGCTGGCCTTGAACTCACAGAGATCCGCCTGCCTCTGCCTCCTGAGTGCAGGGATTAAAGGCGTGAGCTACCACGCCCGGCTGGATTTCTGCACCCTTATGCCTCATCACCATACAGCACTCAGGACAGCCTCTCCTAATCCATGAGCTCTAGTGATTGAGATGGAAACTTCTTCACTAACTTTAGTCCTCCCCTATTCTGAGTGTGTGTGAAGGAGTAGATAAAACATAGGCATTGAATTCTGACACCTAGATGTTAGATGCCTGCAAACTAATCATTAAACCTCTTTGAATTGGTGTTTCTGTAGGAATTTTAATAAAAAACTTTGATACTGTTTGTAAAATACTATGAACATAAAATTTATTCTCTTCTGCTTTATATTCTTACAGTAAATTATATAAATTCCAAATGAAGGTGAAGTTTTATTTATGTAGCAATTCAATAAAGTTTATTTCAAAGAAATGAAAGCAAAGGGAATTGGGGTTGATACATATATCAGACAATTAGTCTGTAAAGCTTAAAGGTGGATAAACTGAGCTTTCATTTATTTAGGAAAAGTACTTAATGAAATGCAAAGACTTATCAGTGATAATCCAGGAAGCTGGCTGAATGCCATTTCACTTTGGAAAAACCTTCTTGAACATGATGCAGAAAAGGAAAATCCTTCTCAAAGGGATGCAAACCCACTAAAAAGAAAAGTGGGGAGAAATGAAATCACCATTGCTAAGAAACTAAAAGTAGATGAGATGCAAATGGGTGAAGAGAATCATGGGGAAAGCCAGCCGGAAAAGGGAAGAGAAGACTCACCAGAGCCGGAGTCTAATGGTTGGAAAGGAAAACAAGAACCAGAGATCCAGAGTACCATGGACAAAGCATTTGATACTCAGAACCAGGAGGACTTGACTTTCAGGGTTTCCTGTCGCTGTAGTGGAAGTGTTGCAAAGGCCTTCACTGCACAGGTATGCCCATCTCACAAAGTGGGGCCCACTTTCCAAAAGCAAGCCACTTATGGAACAGATAATTTGGCCTATGTGGATACTTGAGCTTTCATGGGACTTGTGCATGCTGTCACCATTAACCGTGAGTTCATATGAGTAACTGACCAGTTGTTTGGAAAACTCTTATTTCCTTGTAATCTACCACCTCTGGCTCTTACAGTGTTCCCCTCTTCCTCCCTCCACAATGATCCCCGAGCCTTGAGAGGCAGGAGTTTGAAATGGGTGTCCTATTCAGTGATAAGCACTCTGCAGTCTCTTGTTCTCTGCAGGTTAACCAGTAGTGGGTTTCTGTGTTAATCTCCATCTGTTGCAAAAAGAAGCTTCTCTGGTGAGAACTGAGAGATGCATTAATCTATAGGTGTAACAGTCAGTCATTAGGAGTCAATTTAATACTATATTTAGCAGAAAACTAGTATTAGACTTTCCCCTACACCCTGGGACCTATCTAGCCTCAGGTTCCTAGGCCTGATGTCAATGTCAGGTGTGGATTCCATCCTATGAAGTAGACCTTAAATGAGAAAGGTTTTTCATGCCACGTTTGCACCAGTATGTATATCTTGCCAGACCAGTTATTGTAGTTCACAGGATTCACACCTGGAAAAGACTGATGACTTTTTTTTCATCTATTAGCACGCATACCACATTCCTTACTGTGAAAGCTAGCCACTAGAGCTGAGACTTTGAAGTCAGTACCAGCTTGTTTCCTTGTTTGTTCTATAGTTCATGTGCAGAAGGGTCTTCCATCAAGTTCTGGTGCATAACCAAGAGCAGGGGCAATGGCCAGTATTGTTTGAAGGTCTATGGGACCCCCCCCCTCAATAGCTTCAAGAGAGGGAGTCCATTCCTGACAAGGGGGCTTTAAGAATTGCACAGTTCTTAAAGGCTGAGTCTAATGATGCTGATCTGGTCATGTTTAAACATAGAGGATGGTGACGGTTACAGTGATTAATCTTTGAGCTTCATTTTCTTCCTCAGAAGGACCTTATTGATCAGGTCATGGTCTTACTTCACAAACCTAAAATTTCAAAAGTAGAGATCACATATGAGTAGACTTTAGTGTCAGTGGGAGGGCTTGGAAGATGAGGAGTACAGCCCTACTGACTTGTGGAGACAAACTTTGGATTAATATTGCTAAGTTTTGCAATAATATCCCTAAATTACTGTCAAGTGAATTGACTTTTTTTTTCCCCTCCCAGCTTTTGATTTTATTTAAAGTCTTCATCTTTATTATTCTTACCTTTTCTGTAATTTGTTACTTCCCAGGAGGTAGGAAGAGTAATTGGAATTGCTCTTATGAAGCAGTTTGGATGGAAAGCAGATTTGAGAAATCCAAATTTAGAGGTAATAAGTATCTATCTCAGTTCCTATATATAAAATCTAAGTTTTTAAAGACTGTCATCTCTTTTCAAATTGGCTTGAGTTATAAAAAATATGTCTATAGGTCTAGGGCGATGGCTCAGAAGTTAAGAGCACTGGCTGCTCTTGCAGAGGACCTGGGATCGGTTCCCAGCACCCACATGGCCACTAACAGCCATCTGTAACTCCAGTTCTAGGGGATCTGACGCCCTCTTCTGACCTCTGTGGGCATTACACAACATGGTTGCACTTACACATAGGCAGGCAATACACTCATACACATAAAATAAGAATTATAAAATATTTTTTGAAGATATGTCTACATGGATCCATCGGTCTGCTCTTTAGCAGGAGAATAGTGCAGAAAATGCCTTGTCTAAACTGGAGTCACTTGGCCACAGCTGAAGGAAATTCTTGATGAAAATCAATATTGGAATAACTCAGGTGACAATGGTAATATTAAAAATGATCATTAAGGGCTGAGTATTATGGTTCAGTGGTAGAGCATTTGCTTAGTATGTGTGAGGCCCTGAATTCAATGTTCAGTCTCTAGCAACAAGTTGGAGGAAAGACACTGGGTAAAAATACCAAGGATTTGTAAAGTTCAAAGTGGTGGTTAGAGTATACTGTAAATCCCATCAGCTTACAGGAGTAAGAAATTCTCATTTTTAAAGTTTTATGTTGGCTACTAATGACAAGCATTATATTCTGTCCAAGGCCTAAGAGAAGAATGAAAGAGGGCCAGAAACTCACCTACAGATAGTAGAGCAAAGGACACCCTGAGTACCATACATTGGGCTTAAAGAAAGTTCCTCTTGCTTGACAAGAGGTAGTTGTATACTTAGAACGATAAGCTCTGTTTGTCTGCAAGTCTTAGTTGAGGTTGGATTTTAGAAGTCATATTTCATCCAAAATGCCGAATAGCTTTTGATCCAGTTATCACAGTTCAGAGAGTCTCTGGGAAGATCCTGACTTTTCTAAAACATGATTGTCCATGTAACTTACATGATTGTCCATGTAACTTTCACCCTACCTTGACCTCAGAATTTTGCTATGAAATGAACCTAAATTTGGTTCACCTTTGCTTAAGGACAAAAGATTATAACGTATTTACAGACATGACATGACCAAATAGGACTGGGTATTTCTTATTATAAAAAGGTCAGATAAGGGGCTGGAGAGATGGCTCAGCGGTTAAGAGCACTGACTGCTCTTGCAGAGGACTCGGGTTCGATTCCCAGCACACACATGGCGGCTACGAACTGTCCTTAACTCCAGTTCCAGGGGAATTGGAAGCCCTCTTCTGAGCTCCACAACATTGCACAACACAGATGCACTCACATACATGCAGGCAATACACTCATACACATAAAATAAAAATAATAAAATATTTTAAAAAGGTCATGTAAGTTCAAAATAAAAATTTCAGATTGCCAGTGATTTGATTTGATGCTGCAGTTTCCTGTGAGATTCTAACATCTGTGTTTGTTCTTTCAGATCTTTGTACATCTAAGTGACATTTACTCACTGGTGGGGATTCCTATGTTCAGGTAACAGTTGTAATCCGAGTTTCAGTTTTGTCCCTTTAGAGTTTGTAGAATTAAGAATCTGCACTTTTTATATAGAGTATGAAGTATGGATACAGCAGAGGAGGGCTAAAGGCAAAGCACTCTGAGTTCTTGGCTCAAGACAGTGTATGTTCCCTGGAGCACGTGGGTGGGACTTGATCAGAACTGTGAAAGGTCAACCACAATCACTCACACATTGCCCATCAGATTAATACTGAAAATGATGCCTCGTTATTTCTATTATGAAATAATTTGCACAGCCCATGTTTAAATTTGTTAATGTGTTAGCATCTTGGAGATGTAATTTAAAAAGAAAATATAGCAGTTCTTTAAGTGTATTAACTCTCTCCAGATTCCGTTGCCATTATTGTTTTATTGTGACAGGTAATTGTTGGTCTTTAAAATCATTTTCGAGTATCTCTTTACTCATCCAGAGTACGAAATGATGAATCCAATTTTTTTTTTACTTATTTATTTATTTAATTAAAAAATACCTTCTGGATTCTTACTGTGCAACAGGTGCTTCACAGTTTTCTGCAGAGAAAGCTGGTTGGCTGCAAAAGGGATTCTTGAGTTCTTGTAAGCATGTACATACCAATGGCATCTTTAAAACATCTTATATGTGTGTGAAAAAATAATGTTTTAAAGATGAGGAAAGTTCTGTGGGAAAACTGCATTTGCCTTAAGCTCAGATTTACATGATCCCAAATCAGGATATATTTTTTTAGATGCTTAAGATGATCATAGTGGCTTTTATCTAACGGTGAGCTCTCATAGCTGGCCAGCACAATGCCGAAAACATTAGAGATGTCCCAGAATGCTGAATGGATGGAGTTATCTATCTGCTAGTCATGGCAGGCTCCACCAGCATCCCACCACCAGCAAGAATCAGGAGCAAAGTGAAAGTTCTTGGCGCTGTTACCCCTGTGAGATCATCATGCTTCAGTGGCCTGGTTTCCCCTCACCCCGGCTACCTCACCGCCCTACCAGATCTCCAGAACAAACCTCCTGTATACTAGTCAGTTTCCAGGCTACCCTCCTCCAGGGCCTTGATTGACTTTAATTTCAATAAAAAGCCTCTCTGGCTTTTTTAAAAAATCCCCTAATGACTGACTGACAAAAAAAAAAAAAATGAGGAAAGTTACAGAATGTTTACATTTGAACTCTGTATATTTATTGATAGTTACCAAGACAAAGATAGGAAAGACTAGCAAAACAGTTATTTTTAAAAAGTGTTCATCACGTTACAAGATAATTCTTTTTAAATTCTTTTGTGTGCTGCTGGAATCGAACCCAGGGCTTCATGCTTCCTAAACAGATACCCTACTTCTGAACCACATTCTCTTTCCCCATAAACAGTTTTAAATACATTTACCCCTCAAAGTAAGTCTGGAGAGTTGATTTATAAGGAACATTTAACCTACAGTAATGGTGTCAGCATGCACAAGACCCATGCAAACTCAAGCAGACAAAAACCCAGCATAGAACTGTGGAAATGGGCAGCGGGCCCAAACCTCAGCCAAAGATCTATTGGCAGCTGATTATTGGCCTCCATGGGCACCCACTCTCACATGTACATGTTCACACAAAGACATATACACGTGCACATGATTAAAAATAAAATAGATCAGGACAGGAGAGATGACCCAGTGGTCAAGAACACTCACTGCTCTTCTATAAGAATTGCATTCAGTTTCTAGCACCCACTTTGGGCAGTTGTATCTCCAGCTCCAGGGGACCTGATGCCCTCTTCTCATCCCTGAGGGCACTTGCACCCAAGTGGCATAAGCATACACACACTAAATAAATATTAAAAATAAAATCTTTAAAAATAAATCTTCCAATTAGAAATATCCTAATATAAATTCACTCAGCTTTTATTTAGCAGAAACTTATTCATCTCATGTGTACAAGCATCAATTTTTATTCATATATGTGAAGGTAGAAATTCTAAACCATTTAGGCATAGCTGTCTGTTTCAGAATCTATTGAAAGTTGTAGACTTTTAAGGAAAATGAACATACATATAAAAGTCATCTTCCAATTAGAAATATCCTAATATAAATTCACTCAGCTTTTATTTAGCAGAAACTTATTCATCTCATGTGTACAAGCATCAATTTTTATTCATATATGTGAAGGTAGAAATTCTAAACCATTTAAGCATAGCTGTCTGTTTCAGAATCTATTGAAAGTTGTAGACTTTTAAGGAAAATGAACATACATATAAAAGTCTTTAATTTCAAGGGATCATTGGATATTGTACAACCTGATAAACCCCTTGAACAAAAATTATTTTTTGAATAAAACAAAAAGTAACACCTCATTCCTAAGAGCTTTAAATGCAACAGTAATGTGCTTAGATTCCAAGTCCAAGTTAAAAAACTAATTAAATTTTTAAAATTTTTATTCCAAATTATTTGCATGCTGGTAGACACACACAAGAAGTGTCATGCTTATGGCATTTCGAATAATAAGCAATGCATGTGAAAGTTTACAAGTACATAAATATTTGAAAATCAAAACTCAGAACTGGAATGAAAAGTGGTTGTAAATTGGGTTACGATTGATATTCTCTGATTAGTTGGTTTAACTCTGTCAGTGAGGGTAGAAAGCAATCTCATGTGTGTTGGCTAAAAATAATGATTGCTGGAGTATGCCCAAACAGGAGCCGTGGAGACCTGCAAAGTAAGTAGCACCAAACAAAAGCAACAACCTATGACCCCGACCATAAGAAAATTCTGAAACAATAGAGGACAGCCAGGATGTTTGCCGGTCACATCAAATGGATATCTCTGTATTCTAAAGACATTGCTGTCTTTCAAGACAAGAGCTGTTTGGATCTCTTGAACAGTGAAGCCCCATGGGATGTTAACTGTGCAACTACACCACACTTGCCCAGTCATGGCATAGTGGATGAGAGCTCTGGGCTTCAGGTCTCCCTTCCCTTCAAATGAACTCTGAATTTGTACAGATTATCATTCTCTACTGTAAAATCAGGAAAATAATATTATCTACTTTATAGCTTTGTGGCAGGGCTTAGATGAGGCAGCCCATGAGAAAATGTTTGACACTGTTTCTAGGATACAGTAAGTGCTGAATGTATTTTAATTTTTATTTTTGAAACTGTTTAGCAAGTAGTGAGGGAAGAGGAGAAATATTTACTAGAACAAGATGAATTTGCTCAATTTATTTCATTTGAAACATCAACTTTATTTTTTCCATATGCTAAGCATTGTGCTGAATACCCAAAGTCTCAAGATGAATAAGATGGCTGTTAAATTCAAGAAATTCTATCTAGTGGTAGACAGGTATATGATAAATGCTTGGGTAGTGACAGGAAAGATTTAACTAATGGGTGGAAAAAAGCAAAGCATCTAAGAGGAGACTTAAAAGCCAGATATGCTCACACACTTGTGATCCCAGCATGCAGAGGCCAAAATTGGATACCCTGGGTACATGGGAGTTTCAGCATAGCCTGGATAGAAAGCAAGACTCTGTCCAATAAAAAGGGAGGGAGGGAGGCAGGCAGGCAGATATTAGAAAAGAAAGGACATGTGAAGGGAATAAGTAAGGCTTCGTCAGTGGACAAGAGAAGGAAAAGATCTTGCAGGCAGGATGCCACACTGGACAAAGGCACAGAAAGAAGCATGAGGAGTTTGATTTGCGTGTGGTATGTTGAGAGGACCAGGATAGGGCGGATCATGCATAAGGAGGGTGGGTGAAAATTAGACCAAAGATTAGAAACAAGCCACGAGGCATTTTCAGGTCTGTCCAACCTTTTGACATTGCCATACAAAATTGTCATCTACAAAGTTCACAAAAACCATGCAGTCGAGTTATAAAGGGAAAAAAAAAAAACAACTCAGTGTTTTATGTAACGTCATAATATTGTATTAGGCTGCCTTCATGGCTGTCTGGGTATGCAGCTCAACAGCTGTGGGTTGGACATGTTAATCTAAGCCTTGTGAAAGGGCTTAGATGTTATTCTAAAAGAAACAGAAATGTAAAGTAAAAGAGTGAGGTGATGCAATTTGTGGGGGTTTTTTTTTTAAGTTTGAGATGAGAGAAAGGGGAAGGAGGGGAGAGAGGATTTTAATTTATCTAATAGTCCAGGCAGTGAGTGATGAGGTGCTGAACCAAGGTAAAGTTGGGGTAACAAAAAGACCATGAGTTCAAGAAAAAGTTAAGGAGTCTAAAATGACTTCTAGATTGCTTATTTGAGCAATTACTAGACACTAGTGTTAATCACCAAGATACAAAATGCAGAGGAAGAACAGTGTGTTCTGTGACAAACATCCAAGAAGATGTTTTAAATGACAGATCTGGAATTCAAGTTGACAAGTGTAGGCTGAAGGTATAGGTTGGGATACCCAGTGTATGGTTGGTATGTAGCATAAAAGATGGAATGTTCACAGGTATAAAATATAGGGACAGAAAATGTGATGGTCAAAACTCTCAACACCAAGGACCTGTGAAGGATTGTCTAGGTTAAGATTAGCCTTTGAGAATGTCTGATTCTGATGGTCTTGTTGAAGCTAATTGAGGCAGGAAGGCCCATCGTAACTGGGCCATCCCTGAGCAGGGATCCTGGACTGTATGAGATAGAGACGACGCACCGAGCACTAGGAACTGCATTCAGTCGCTGGTCTCCGCTCTTGACTGTGGATGTGATGTGGCAGTTCTCTCAAGCTCCTGCTGCTGGGACTTCCCTCCCATGAGGGACTGTGACCAGAAAGTGTGAGCAAAATGAACAGTTTCTCCCAGAGTTGCTTTTTATCAGGACATTTTATCACAGCAACAGTTAAGAAAGTAAGAGAAATTTTTCTCATTTTATACAATTTGAATTTTATTACTTAACCTCCAGATAAAAATGCCCAAGCGTCTGTTTGAAGATAAAGATCTGGGGCTCAGGTGACAAGTCTAGGCTGAACTCGGATAGCAGCTTGCCTTTGTTTGAGTGTGTAAGAGAATAAAGAAGA